CTAAACTCAAGTTATAGCAATCTACTTCCATGAATATGACCATGGCTTGGATGAAAACGGATTCAAGACTCCTTTTATAACTGTAGAGGCTAAATACTATAGGAAAAAGGAATTTCTTTGCATACAACCCATGGAACCAACTTATCCTTCTCAAAAGGGTCAAAAAGACCCATAAATCAACATACAAAGAGATCTAAGCTATGGGTTATCAAGCTAGGAGCTTTTTACCTTAGAAAGCTGCCAAAGATGGATAGGCTTCTGGATCTTGTTCTTCTCCCACAACTTGCTAGCTCCAAGCTCTTCCAACTATCTTCAATAAAACAAAAACACACTTAAAAACTCAAGGGTGAATCTCTCAACCGAATTAGGGTTTCTGGAGGACAGGGAGGCTGGTAAGGGAGGCCCAAAGGGGGTTTAAGTGGTTTACATAGGGTGCAAAACCCCGAAAATAGGGTTTCCTCCTGGCAGACCTACTCGTCGAGTCCATGCTTGGACTCGCCGAGTAGACTCTTTAAAACCAGCGTCCTTTCTGGCATCTACTCGACGAGTTAGGGCTACCAACTCGTCGAGTAGCTCAAAATAAATACTTGAATAATTAAAGAATTGCGTACCAGGAACGGAGCGTTACACGGTGTGGTGGTAGAGGGACCACGATGTGGCATTTCCAGTTTAATGGACGCGTATTCACGAGGAGCCACGACGTGGCAAGGGCTTGGCCTCGATGTGGCGGTGGCTGGGGTTCAAAACCCTAGATACCGAGATTTGTGCCCTATTTAAAGGCACTAACTCCTAAGGTTGCCTCATTTGGCAAATTCCACCCTCTAAGATCGTATTCCACCCAAACCATAGCCTTCTTTTGTGTGTTTTGAGTGCGTGAGCCCATTTTGTGAAACTTGAGGGAATAATGAGTCTTTCTTGTTTGCTTATGTTCTTGGTTCAAGCTTAGATCCTTCATCTGCATCGCATTTCTAATCATTTGGTAGTATAAAGTTTATATCTTGCTCATTACTTCTCTAGATCTATTGTTATATCAATTTATGAGCTTTTTGATCCAAATCTTCTTATTCTTGGAGTTTAAGTGAACTCCAGAACCCGTGAGTGCATTATGAGCTTTTGAGCTCTGGAGATTAAGAGTTAAGAGCTTAACCCATTAAGTTGTTAGAACCAGTTCCCACGACGCGGCGAGTTGCTTGCCATGATGTGGTGGCAAGTTTCACCGTGACGGTTTTGGTGTGTAGCCACCACAACGTGGCCATGGTATTGTCCAAATCGTGGTGACTCGACCGTTGAATATTTGACCATATTGACTTTTTGGTCAACTTGAGGGTTATAGACTATAGATTAAGGATTTGGTTCTGATTGATGTATAAGTGGTTCGTAGTGTCAGTATGTACCTCCATGTCAGCTGTGGTGATTATCTATCGTTTGTGAGGGGAGTTTTCTCACAATAATTTATACTGCATTATGTATCCTTGGCATGTTAGGATGTTGATATGCTGCAATGATCTGTTAGGTAGATAGATTTGTTATGATTACCTATGCATAATTGTTATTGTTATGTGTATATGTCGACATGTTGTGGTTGGGTTAAGGCGGTCCAGCTGCATGCTGAAGGCCAAAAGGCCCGAGCAGTTCAGTTCATTACTATAGGCCTAAGGAGAGCGGTCTAGTTCATTACTATAGGCTCCGGAGGGCGGTCTAGCATTGTGCTGAAGGCGTAGAGGGCGGTCCAACTTTGTGTTGTATGCCTAAGGAGAGTGGTCTAGCTTAATGTCGTAGGCTTTAAAGAACGGTCTAGCTTTGTGTTGTAGGCTCTGATGGTGGTCCAACTTTGTGTTGTCAGCCTTGTGTGCATACATTATACATGGATTGTTGTGTGGGTTATTTTGGGGAACTCACTAAGCTTTGTGCTTACATTTGTGGATGAAATGTTTTTAGGTACTTTATCAGTTAGTGGGGATGTGAAGGTGTGACTGTACACACATGCATTAATAGTTTTATGATTCGAGATTTCGCATTGTTTTCCCATACAGATCTGATATGGAATTATGATATTTGAACAAACGGTTTGACTTGGATGTATTTTACGAAAATGAGTGTTTATTTTATTTTAAAAATGAAAAAATTATTCTGAAATTTGGGACGTTACAAAATTTGATCCATTGCACCTTTAGAAAAATCAACCATAATCAGTGGGAGAATCAAATCTAAGCATAATTATTTTCTTATACTGATTAAATTACATTCTACTTCAATTTTCTTAATTGTCTATAATCTGTTTTCTATTTACCTTTTTTTTTCTCTAGTTTTGTTTGAAGTTTTTGAACTTACTAATCATAAATCTCCCGTTTTTAATAACTTTTAAATTAGTTTATTTAATAGTAAAAATTTCAAATCAAATCATACTTGTTCCCCGAGTGTTCGATAAATCCGATCTTACCATAACTATACGTCTAATCAATTAGGTATATTTTCCTAATTGTGTATCGGTCACCAGTTGTGATAATTCCCATTTAAAACTAGTATAATAAACACATCATACTGAAACATAATGCTCAACTTGTTGCGAAAAGGGGTTGTACAAAAGCAAGGGATCAACTTTGATAGAAAACTTAAAACATGTAACACGACTTGAGAGTGGGAGGCTTATTCTTGCTTTTACTTCTCAACATCAGTGGGTTGTCCACGTATATCGAGAAGGGAGTCTATGTCATATAATCGAAAGGATACATTAAGAAAGTAAATATTCATAAGGTATTCCAACTCTTCAAAGCTATTTATGGTTTACTACAAGTTCCCCAAGTTTGGAACATTATTTTGGATAAAACTTGAAAGTGATAGTTTTTCAAAAGTTCACAAGACCCAATGGTTTACAAAAGGTTCCCAAAAGTCAAAATTCTTATTGTTGGTGTCTATGTTAATGACTTAACCATTATCAAGATGAACACCAAAAACATTGTTGAATTCAAGGAACAAATGAAGAAAGATTTCGAAATGAATGACTTGAGACTACTTTCTTACTATCTTGGAATTGAAGTTTCTCAAATGAAGTGGAGAAAAACTTGCAATAGACAGCTTACACAAAAAAGATTTTGGAGCAATTTGCAACCCGATAGCTTCACCAACGAAACCAAAATTGAAGGACAAGAATGATTAATACAGATTAATAGTCGACCCAACCATATATAGACGAGTGATTGGTTGCTTGACGTATTTGACTCACTGGACTTTTAGTTTTTAAATATTCATGTTTTGATCTAAACATTAAACATTTGCATTATCTTACACAAATATAATCCCGAATCAAAGATAAATAAAAAGATAAATCTCATAATATTTGAAATTTATGCAATTATGATATATTTAATGATACATTTAAGTTTTTGATGAAGAAAAGATCAAATCTAAACATTGATTTATATTTTTTAAAGAACTTCTATAGAAACCACTATTGATAATTAGCTAAACATGTCCCAAATTATAATTTTTTAGAATAATTTAATCTGTTCGTAGAAAGCTATACGAGTAAACGTTTTGGTATATATATCCTCTTAAAGTAATGATTTTATTTGAAAAACTTAGATACATTTTGGTATATATATCGTCTTAAAGTAATGGTTTAGGTTCATCTGAGATATGTTAATTTTGTGAGACCGTGAGATGCAATTTAAAAATAATTTTAAAATGCAAAATAAAATGAAAAATCCAAAAATTCTTTTTTAGTTATTATTTTCGTCACTTTCTTTATCTAAAAAAAATAAAAAAAAATAAAAAAAATTACCGATTTTTTTTTGAAAAATACGTGAAATATTCTAATAGAATATTACACTATAAATATTATAATATGATTTTTAGAATGTTAGAATATTCTAGTAGATTTGTCAGATATGTAAAATATTCTAATATTCTACTAGAACATTTCATAGATATTTCAAAATTTTTTGGATAAAAAAAGTGACGAAAATAATAATTTTTAATTTTTTTTTGAAAATTTTCTATTATTTTGCATTTTAAAAATGTTCTTTTTTTATCTACAAAATGAGTGGCTAGGATTGTATCTTCCCGCCTCACAAAATATAATGGTCTCACATGAACCAACTCTATATATCGGGCGTGTTTGGAAAAAGTAGCTGTTAGCTGGAAGCGGGTAGCGTTTAGCTGGTAGCGGGTAGCTGGTAGCGTGTAGCGTGTAGCGGGTAGCTGGTAGCGGGAAGCTGTAACTTTTATTTGTTATATGAATGTTTGGCAAAAGTAGCTGGAAGCTTTTGAAATATATAAAATTACATAAAAGGACAATTGATTAAAAATAAATAAATATATAAATATATTTTTAAGGGTAATTATGGAAATTGATTTCAAAAGCTTATGAATGTTTTGTTAAACGCTACATGAAGTAGCTTTTAGAATCAGAGCGTTTTGTTAAAACTAAAAACTAAACGCTCGTATTGCCAAACAAAATTTTTTGTTTAAACTAGAGCGTTTTATCAAAAGCTAAAAGATAGAAGCTCCCAAACACTTTCAAAAGCTCCGTGCCAAATATGAATGTTTGGCAAAAGTAGCTGGAAGCTTTTGAAATATATAAAATTACATAAAAGGACAATTGATTAAAAATAAATAAATATATAAATATATTTTTAAGGGTAATTATGGAAATTGATTTCAAAAGCTCATGAATGTTTTGTTAAACGCTACATGAAGTAGCTTTTAGAATCAGAGCGTTTTGTTAAAACTAAAAGCTAAACGCTCGTATTGCCAAACAAAACTTTTTGTTTAAACACTTTCAAAAGCTAAAAGATAGAAGCTCCCAAACACTTTCAAAAGCTCCGTGCCAAATACGCCCATCGTCTTGAAGTAATGATTTTATTTGAAAAACTTAGATACATGTAAAATATAAACTTTTTCAATAAAAATGGATAATTAGTGGCATTTTGTCATATATCTAAAACTTTAGTTACTTGAATGCAATAAAATAAGGGTGAAATACAACTACCCCCGCAGACAAAATCAGTCATGCCATTTATTTGACAACAGTGGAAACGGGGATGTAACTGACGACTGTCCGATCCCGATTACGGTCAAAATCAGCTCAGCGGAGAATCGGGCCGGCGACAATGTCGTCGATTCAACGGCCACCAAACGACTCCTGGGACTACATGCTACCAGGTCCACCTTCCCGCAACAACGGCGGATCTGCCGACCTCCGTTCGACCGGACTTCTAGCCTACGCCGCCGGCAGCAGTGTCGCCATAGTCGACTCACGCTCAATGCAACTCGTATCAGTCCTTCCGATTCCTCCTCCGTCCGCCAGCACTGCGAATTCCACCACAAGTTCTTCAACATCTTCCTATTTGTCTCCCTTTGTCACCGCCGTCCGTTGGTGCCCTACTCCGCTTCGCCTCGATCTTCTCTCACATGATCCTACGTCTTCGCACTCCCACCTTCTCCTCGCCGCCGGCGACCGCCAAGGCCGTGTTTGCCTCCTTGATCCACGCGTCAAAGCATCTGCTCCTCTTTTCCTTCAAACCGATCCGAACTCCAAATTAGGTATCCAAGACCTGTGTTGGATCCAATCCAGACCTGATTCGTGGATCATTGCTGCCATAACCGGATCCTCGCTCCTCTCTCTATTCGAAACATCCACTGGGCGTTGCTTCTTCAAATACGACGCCGCTCCGGAAACCTTCTCGTGCATTAAACGTGATCCCTTTGATTCCCGCCATTTCTGTGTTGTAGGTCTCAGAGGCTTCCTTCTAGCGATCAAAGTTCATGGCGACAATTCGGAATCGGACGTCGTATTGAAAGAACTTCAAATACCTACCGATGTCTCTGAATTGAATAAGCTGGAGAGAGATGCAGCTGCCGCTAGTACTTCCGGTTCAATCAACAATTCTCCGGCAATGGCGTCCTTCCCCACTTACGTAGTGAAAATCGCGTTTTCTCCACATTGGAAGCACATTTTGTATGTGACTTTTCCAAGGGAATTGGTTGTGTTCGATATGCAATATAAAACGGCTTTGTCTCGTATCAATTTACCTAGAGGATGTGGAAAGTTTCTCGATGTGTTGCCTGACCCAAGCTTGGAGGTGGTCTACTGTGCTCATTTTGATGGACGCCTAAGCGCTTGGAGGAGGAAGGAGTAAGTAAATTTTCTACTCAATCGAAAAACTATATAAAGTATGTTTGATTATTGCCTTGAGATATGAATATGGCCATAATTGCTTAACCTTCAATCATATTCATTTATTAATCTGAATTTCTCTACATGTAAGGAACCTGCAAGATAACGCCCTCATCTTTGTGCTTGCCTATGTATGAGTGTCTATGTATATAGTTTATGTATGTAGATGTTTTCTTCAACATAAAGGGATTTAATTATTTTTATATCACAACAGAGGAGAGCAGGTGCATGTGATGTGCATGATGGAAGAATTGATGCCCTCACTTGGTACCCCTATCCCATCTCCCTCGGTTCTTGCAGTTGTCATCTCTCGATCAGATTCCACCCTGCAAAATGTTCACAAGCATCTTTCTGACGGACAGCATACTTCTTCACCTGATATGGATTTTGACAACCCTTTCGATTTTTGTGATGAAACTCCAGTCATTTCTAAAACCCATCTGTTATCCATTTCTGATGATGGAAAAATATGGAACTGGCTTCTGACTGCTGAAGGCCCAACAGAGAATCAAAAAGCTGCATCAGATGTCACCATTGTTGCAGAAATCAGTAAAGATAAAGATTCATCTTTAGATACAAATTCTGGAGTGGATTCTTCATTTGGCTCTGTGAAAGATGTAGTCAAACAAACAGATAAGGAGAATATTAGAAAGGGTCGTCGATCATCCTCCAAAAAGAACAAGGATGAGCTGTCACTAAAGGTTTATTCTTGTTTTTACTCAATGTTGACTTTGGTTATTTATTCATTCTTACTGATAAAATTCTTCAATCAGATCAGTTTGGTTGGCCAGCTGCATCTACTTTCTTCATCAGTGACTATGCTGGCTGTTCCATCCCCTTCTTTAACTGCTACTTTTGCACGTGAGTTCTTTCTGCTATTTGAAAACAAATATCAGATTTTTTATATTAAATATCATACTCATTATATGAAGGAGGGGGAAACCATCCTGCAGTAGCTGTTCCACTAGTTGCATTGGGAACTCAGAGTGGTTCAGTTGACATTGTTGATGTTTCTGCAAATGCTGTTGCTGCAAGTTTTTGTATCCATGATAGTGTTGTAAGAGGATTAAGGTGGTTGGGTAATACAAGACTAGTCTCATTCTCATACACTCAGGTATGTATTATGTTTATGTAAGAAAAAAACTTGTATTAAACTATTAAATAAGTAACCACATGTATTCGTTTTCTCAATTTGAAATGAGTAATGACATATAACTATTACTCTGTGTACTTAGGGAAATGAGAAAACTGGTGGCTTTACAAATAGGCTTGTTGTTACCAATCTTCGAACTGGCCTTAATCGAACATTTAGGGTTTTACAAAAACCAGAACGTACTCCCATAAGAGCTTTAAGGGCTTCATCTTCCGGAAGGTTGTTCTTGAAAAAGGGTTTTCTTTAATTCTTCAATCCATTTGATAGGGTTAATGTCATTAATGGGTAATGAACTATTTGTGTTTTTGTAAACAAAATGTTCCATTTACTTACCTTTTGATTGTACTTTAAAAAAAAAGAATGAATAGTTTGTTACCCAATTGTGACATTTAATTTAAACCTATTTGATACATTCTTGATGCATTTTGTAGGTATCTTTTGATATTGTTTCGTGATGCTCCTGTTGAGGTTTGGGCAATGACAAAGACTCCAGTCATGGTAAACCAGATTACTTGTGTCCTTTTTGTTAATTGTTTAATTTTCTTTTTGAATATTCTCTTTTTCAAATAATGTTTTCTTTTTTGCAGCTTAGGTCTTTGGCCCTTCCATTTACAGTATTGGAGTGGACTCTTCCTACTGTTCCAAGACCAACACAAAGTGCAGCATCTAAGCAATCTGACACTTCTGCCCCTCCCGAAACAGACTCTAGTGAGTATAGTATAATATTAATAGCATTTTCATTAGGGTTAAATGCAAGAAATAGCAACACTTCTTCTCATCGAAGTTTAATTATCATAAAGTTTCAATGCTCAGAAGTAACTTCTAATGCAGATGGAGGTCAAGAAGAGTTTTCAGAGACTTTTGCATTTGCACTTGTAAATGGTGCACTTGGGGTGTTTGAAGTTCAAGGGCGAAGGATCCGAGACTTCAAGTATTATTCTTTACAAAAAAACTCATTATCCAATTTATATTTTTTTTTCATTTAATTTATTATTTATAGCTCATTCTAATTTACTTTTATAACTTTATAGACCAAAGTGGCCTGTTTCTTCACTTGTTTCTTCCGATGGACCCGTTAGAGCTATGGCCTATCGTTTGCCTCATGTGGTTAGTAAATAGTAAATAGTAAAATCTCTTGGATTCCATTCCAGTAGAATTGGAATTCAAGATTCCATTCCATCGTTTGCTTCCCAAATAGATGGAAATCAATTCAATTCTTCCGGAATCCTTCAAATTCCATGTTTGATGGATTTCATTTCACCATACCTAAGAAAGACGCTGGAACTATTTCAATTCCATTTATTTTTCCTTTTTTTTTTTAAAATGACGAAAATACCCTTGTCAGGTGATGGGGGACAGGTCAGGTAACATCCGGTGGTGGGACGTTACAACTGGACAATCCTCCTCTTTCAACACTCACCGTGAAGGCATTCGAAGAATCAAATTCTCACCCGTTGTTCCTGGAGACCGAAGCCGTGGACGTATCGCTGTATTGTTTAATGACAATACATTTTCCGTTTTTGACCTTGTAAGCAAAAAAAAATTACAAAATAAGTAAATTCATTATTTTCCAATAATAGCAATATGTAGCAAATAACTACAATGCCTATATTGGTATTATTAGGTCAAAGATAAAGTACATTGCTATTATAAAGTTAAAAAAAATTATTATTTTTTTGCAGGATTCACCGGATCCATTAGCTAACTCATTACTACAGCCTCAGTTTCCTGGCACACTAGTGCTGGAACTTGATTGGTTGCCTGTAAGAACTGATAAAAATGATCCTCTGGTTTTGTGTATTACTGGAGCAGATAGTAGCTTTCGCCTTATTGAAGTTAACATGTATGTTTCATAACTATATTTATTTAATATTTAAAAAAAAAGTTGATAATAATGATTTATTATTTATGCAGTGAAAAAAGATCTGGTTATGGAGCTCAGTATGGATCAATAAAGGAGCGGTTTCGACCAATGCCTTTATGTTCTCCTATATTACTTCCTACTGCACATGCCTTGGTAATTTTGCCCTTAACCTTTTCTTTAAACAAACATTGATATTCTCTCTAATCACACAAATTGAAAATATAACATTATTTTTATTATTATTATTATTATTATTAACAGGCATTGAGGCTGATCTTGCAATGTGGTGTGAAGCCTTCGTGGTTTAACACATGCAGTACGATTATAAATAATAAAATTAATGAATTATCAGTAGGAGATCTTCGTAGCTATTTAATTGATATACCAACAATTGGCGACACTGTTGTCCCAGAATTGCTTCTTAAGGTGCTAGAGCCTTACCAGAGAGAAGGTGAGTTTATATTTTTTTACAAAATTAGTTTCTTTATATATATATTTTAATCATATTTTATATTTGTTTACATTATTAGGTTGCATACTTGATGATGAAATGGTGCAAGAGTATGGTAGTATACTGAATAAAGGTTCAGCTGCAAGGTTCTCTTTTTCAGCAGCAATATTTGGTGAAACATCAGAGGCTTATTTCTGGTTGCAATTGCCTCATGCACTTAACCACTTAATGAACAATTTAGCTAACAAGTCTCTACAAAAAGAAAAAGAAAAAACCCCTGTAAATTCATCGTCTGAAGAAATTGATGACGTGTCTTTGCTGACTAGGATTTCCTCCAAGGGTAAATCCGGAACTGGGTCAAGTAACACCAACACAGTGGTATAAATAAACTTTTTTTTGCTCTTTTTAGGGTTAATGTGATTGAATAACAATATGCTTGTCCATTTTGACACTTTAAGTCCCTAATCAGTTTTTTTTTTACTCAATAGGCCATTAAACTAATTTTTTTGGGTTAATCTAAAAAAAACTTATATTTTGTGTTTTTTCCGGATTAAACCTCAAATTTTTTTTTTGCCTGAAAAAGACCTTGTATTTTTTTCATTTTTTCCGAAAAGCCCTCAGCTTTGTTTTTTATTCCGAATAAGCCCCTCAACCTTCTAGATGCTTCCAAATAAGTCCTCAACTTTTTTAGTTTTTCTCGAAAAAACCCTCACATTTTACAGTTTTTTGTTTTTGGAAAAAATGACTAAAAGGGCCAGATCGGAAGAAAATGAAAAAATACAAGGTCTTTTTCAGGTAAAAAATAAATTTGAGGTTTAACCCGGAAAAAAACACAAAATATAAGGTCTTTTTTGAGATTAAACCAATTGTTTTTGTGTTAGTTTCACCATTCCTCTCTTTTTAATACAGGTTACTATGCTAATGTGGCATCCTACATGGCATATTATGGATTCTTATTTAAAATTTAGTTTATTAATATTTTTTGTTTTACATCCATGAAATGTTAAAATCGAAACAAGATGATAAACCGAAAATCCCAAATTTTTTGCTCTTGATTTGTTTTCTATAATAGTAAAAGTTAATATTTGATAATAACTATAATATTAATATTGATAAATAAACAATTAGTAAAGTCCATGTGGACAAAGTAACAAAAAAGACCCCTTCATTTTCTCCAAAATGATGATTCAGTGACCTTTTTATTGTGATTTTTAGTAGTTTTAGGAATGTGTTTTTACTTTACAATATTAATATTTAATAGTGATATATTTATTTATGATCAGAGTGATGGTGAACTTAAATTAATGGCTTTTGAGCAAGAAGAATTATGGGAAAGTGCTAATGAGCGTATTCCATGGCATGAAAAATTAGAAGATGAAGAATCTATTCAGAACCGTGTACATGAGTCAGTATTATAATTTTTTTTTAATATATAAATAATTCTCTTTTTCTTTTCTAATTAATTAATTAATTAATTATCAGGCTTGTCTCAATTGGTAACTTGGAAGGTGCTGTAAGTTTAATGCTTTCTACTCCTCCAGAAAGCCCTTATTTTTATCCAAATGCTTTGCGTGCTGTTGCTCTTTCATCAGCTGTTTCAAGATCTTTAAATGAATTAGCTGTAAAGGTAATTAAAAATTCAATATATATATATATTATATTATATATATAATTTCCCACTTTTAATATATAATTTAATTTTGTTGTAGGTGGTTGCAGCAAGTATGGTGAGCACTGACAGGTCATTATCTGGCACACATTTGCTATGTGCTGTAGGGAGGTATCAAGAAGCTTGTTCACAGGTGTTCTTTTATTTCTACAAAAAAAAATATCCAATTTCATTCTTCCTTTTTTTTTATCAAAAAGACCAAAATACCCTCGTCACGTTGCCATTATTGTAACATATGTTTCAGCTACAAGATGCGGGTTGTTGGACAGATGCTGCAACATTAGCAGCAACACATTTAAAAGGAACTGATTATGCAAGGTTTGGATATCACATTAACATATTGCATTTTTTAAGGGAGTCTGATCAAAATTTGATGATAAATATTAGAAGGATTTTATTTTTTTCATAAAGATATTTAATTAAGATATTGTCTCATATATTTTGTGGATTTTTCAGGGTATTACACAGATGGGCTGAACATGTCCTTCATGCTGAACATAACATCTGGAGGTATTCAGTTTTCTAAAATATCTTTTTTCTTTTTCGAATTCTGTTTGTTCCAAAAAAAAAAAAATGCAATTTTTGTCTGATTGGGAATTGGAACATGACAGGTCCCTGATATTGTTCATAGCAGCAGGTTCATTACAAGATGCACTGGGGGCACTCCGTAGGGCGCAGCAACCGGATACCGCAGCCATGTTTATAATCGCGTGTCGTGAAATTCATGCCGAATTTATTGAAAAATTAGATCCTGAAAAAGAGCCGGATTCTTTAATTAAAGAAAAATTGGTGGTTTTGCCGGGTCTAAACCCGGAAAATGAAGATGTAATTGCTGCTGGTGAATTGTACGGACAGTTCCAACAGAAACTTGTTCACCTTTGCATGGACTCTCAACCATATATAGATTAAATAAATAAATGCCATATGCTTTGTCTTATGTCATGTACTTTTGGTAAAGCACATGGTACAACTTGACATTCATTTTACAAAGTGGTATACGACGTTATAGATTGATAGTCAATATTTATTTTTTATTTATTTTTTGTTGTAAAGTTTGAAAAGATGATTCGATATTGTGCAATTTTGGACTTGTGTTCTTCACGATATTCTGTATCCCTTTTGTTTTTGCTTGTTTCGAAATGTACGGAAAAGAAGAGTACTTTGGGTTAATTTTGTGTTGAGGAATCATTTGGGGTTAACCCAAATCCATAAGGCATCAAGATTATTATGGAACTACCACTTCCACTTAAACAAGAGAGCTCTATTGAAGGCATACAAACTCCCCACTTCAAGGCCTCCATCCTCTTTACTTTCCATAACCTTCTTCCACATGAGCCGTGTAAACGGTCTGTCACCTAAGTCGTCACCCACAAAAAAAAAAACAATTTCTATGTGCTTCTAAACAATTGACGATTTTTATGGAAGCACGAAACATGATCATGAAGTACATACTTATGCTCCCATGAATTAATTGACTTTATTAATGTAAGCCGACCTCCCACCCATAATAGTTTCACTTTCCAATTCAAAAGTCTAATCGTGAATTTATCAGACAATTATTTCCAGTTTACAGTAAGTCACAACTTTAGTCCAAATTTAAATTTTGTTACATGGCTGCCCTCATGGTTTCACTTCATTACATGGTTCTTCCTTCTGATAAAGTACTTGTGAAAATGACCATTTTACCCATCTTTTATCCTTCTATCCTTTTCTCATTTTGTTATTTTTTTCCGTACCAATACTTTTATTACTCTTAAAGCCGCAAAAAGAAAACCTTACAATATAATATTTTCAGTTAAATCCATTTTAATAATGTAATAAGAGAAATTAAATATCTTCTTATTTTTTTTTTCCTATTTATCTTCCTACCCATATGAACACATATTTGAAAGAACATGAGGCCATGAACTAAAAGCCTTCAATAGTTCTACTTTCATCTTATTTGTCTTTTCCAAAAAAATCAATTCTGCACATAAGATGTCGTATAACTTTCAACCGCATATTTGCCAAACAATCCAAAGTCAGTTTTTAACCTTTTTTATTTTTTTTTAAAATTTATTATACTGTCAAATCAAATTGCAAACAATAGCAACCTACTTTAGACCCTTTAGTCTTGCTACCAATATAGCCAATGTACTTCATCTCTTACCCTTTATCCTTATTTTTTTTACAGTATTATGTTAAACATAGAAACTATTATAATATGTAATTGTTTACTTATGGGTTTTGAAGTTTAAGGGTGCAGTGGGACTCAGTGATGGCGGTGTTTGTGTGATTGAGCCGCTAGAATCAGAAGGGAAATGGGGGACATCACCTCCATTAGAAAATCAATCTCATAGGTAATTTTAATTTAATTTATTTTTTTAAATGAAAAGATTTAGGTACATAAATAACTCCATCACTTAGAGATTTAGTAACCTTGTGGCTTTCCCTGATTCAAGTGCGAGTCCTGTGCTTCCGGTAGTATAGGCCTCTACTACATTTCACACCTACTCATACTTGTCCCAAGTATTGTCTTGCAGTCCACTAAGTTCTATTCCTAAAATCATCAAACAATTTAACACATACTATTGTGTCCAAATAAGCACATGTCTTAATAGACTCTTCTAGGGTTTCTTCCTCGCGTATCTTCAACTACAATTCTTCTTCTACTTAGTTGGTGGTGAAACGTCAGACGATGGGACGACTTCAGGAGTTACACCACAAGTTCTATCATTGATATCTTCCGATATGTATCATTCACTATCATAAGCCTTCTCATTTGCTTAGTCCGATACAAGTTCTTATCATGACCTTCTGTACACCAAAGCAGGCGTTCGATGTACCGATCGAGAATATAGGTAGAGAAGGTTTAGACGCATAATCCTCATTATTACTCCGAAAAGTTATATGTCAGTTTTAATACCGCAATTAAACGTTTAGAAATCTGAACACATAAAATTTCCTATATCTAGGTCGTCAACAGACCTTAAATCTAATTAAGAAATAACAATTTAGGCAACCTAAAGCATGCTACACATCATTTAGCACATAAAAGCAAATTAGGCATCTTATCCTAAAGTAACCTAGTGCTTGTGTTAATTCAGGTGCACTAACCAAAATAATATGGACATACACCTCATGATCATTGCTTAACATTCTAAGTTTAAGTCTAGAAATTCCCTGAAATTCCCTAAAATTCCTAGTTCACTTAAACTAATACTCTGATACCAATTGTGACATTCCCATTTTTACGGCAAGAAAATACCGATTTGTTTATGCTTATTAAATCAGAGTATTCTTTTAAAAAGATTAATTATACGGAACTTGTCCCAAAAACGTGATGATATTATTATCAAAGTATTTTCAAAGAAATGTGTTTCATTTATAAACTCAGGATGTCATCGTCAATACAGAAACATAAGTATAAACGGAGACTTACAAGGTCTCAATATTCTAATGGTCTACATTTCCTTGAATCTCTCATACATCCTTATCCAAATATCTTTATTTAATAACATGCGAGTCAAATAAACCGAGTGGGCCAGGTTGGGAAACCTGGTAAATACATAAGGTTTTCAACCCATAATCTTATAGTTTAATATGTTTAATTATCAAACAATTAACTCAATTACCTATCCCCGTTTTACTATTTATTCTTCCCTAAGGATTTATCCTAAGAGTCACCGCCTACATCGCATAGACAATACTGTTTTGGGGATTACTCCTCCAATACTTGTCCACTAAAGGTTAGAGTATCATCACATGAATACGTAGTTACTACATCGCCTGAACTCGTAACTCATCACCTACATGTTATGACCCTGCTGGTGTTTCCATATGACTTGTTTAAATAAATCATTGGTCGCCATCTATACTATGGTAGATGACTACATCGAAACATCACAATTCAAGGTTAGGGCATCTCCTAGTCATCTCCTATTTATCATCACCTATTTATCATTATCTATCTACCATCACTTATCTATCCTCTTCTAGCTACCATCCCTTACCACAACCCAATACATATTTATAAGTGTATAATACTTATATGATTAAATCAATTTAAATGTCATCTTATATCATTTTATCTAACACATAACAATTTTGGCACATATAATAAGCACATACAACATGTAATTATCTAGATACTTCATATCTATGTGTAAGAAGAAGGTAACTATACACTCACTTGATAACAGTAGATGACTCGAGGTTAGGGCAACACGTCGCCTTAACACTTTTCCAAAAGACCTAGATGTACATAATGGTAAGTCTTAGTCTAGATTCATGATTCTGGCGACTATAATAATTATAGTATAGATTTTGCAATAATCCCAATGTCTACTGATCTATAATTGATAAGGGATAACCAGGTAGGATCATATCGGAGGTAGGATCCGTTTGGTATACATAGTATACTGTTTGGAAATCCCACTTTAAACACATCACTAAATCCAGCCTAGACGTCATCTCCGTAAGTAGATCAATCAATATAATGACTCGGAATTAATGAAAAATCTTATTTATAGGTTCATAATAATGACTATGACTATAAATATAAGTTACACTGAAAGCGATACAAGTGTAGCTTAACTTACAGAGATTTCTTGGACAAAAGTCCGAAAATTACACTCGCAGAGCTTTTAAGCGAAACCGGGAAAAGTTACGCGGACAAGACTCTGAAACCGAAAACTCTACTTGCCAGACGCCTTGACCCCTCAAAACCTTATTAGATACCCTTAGTAACTTCAAGAAAATCGGACTCAATAAGGAAAGGTAGCTTAGAGAGAAAGGAATGAAATTTTGATGTGGAAATGAGAAAAATAGGAAGGGTACCTATAGGCTTAGGGGAGTCGCGCCATGCATAGACAAGAGGCGCGCCGCGCACTCTTGTCCTGCTGGCTCCTCCCAGCTTGTGCCACGTGTCGCCATTTCATGGTGTCACGTGTCATTCCCACAATGAGCCACATCATCTTGTCTCTTGGAAGAGGCGGTCTCCCGACATGCCATGTGTCGTGTTCGGAGAGTGCCACGTCACCAGTGTGCGCAACGCACTTCACGCGTGTGAATTTTCATAATTTCGAAATGGCGTAACTTCTTCATTCAAACTCCGTTTTCGACATTCTTTATATCCCCAGAAATCTCTCGACGAGATCTGTAACTTTCATTTAGACTCTGTCGACTAATTTTGACTTTATTTTTAAAGCTATATTTTAAAAAGGCTTAGACTGTTAAAGTCTGTTTAAAAAAATTAATAACTTTCTCATACGATATCCGTTCTCGACTGTTTTTATATCGACGAAATCATATGTTCGAGATCTTCAACTCTCGTTGAGGTTGTTTTCCTAACAATCAACCGATCTCTACTTCGGTTTATGAGTTGTATAGTGTTGTGCTAATACTTCAAAAAATCATAATTTCATCTTACGAAGTCAGATTTTAGCCTTCTTTATATGTGTGGAATCCTTGTCACACATACTATAACTTGTTTAAGATCATTTATCTTAAATAATATTATACCAAAAAGTAATTATTATGGCTTATAATAACTTATTTGCCTACCCCGAATTTGCGGGTATTACATGAAACGAAGATTTCGATTTACAAGGAAGAACGACAAGAGCACTACATTGTGAGATGATAGGATTGAAGAGAAGACCATAGACACATGAAGAAGATAATCTTTTGGTCACTTTATTAATCAATATGTTATTCATTTACATAATGGTCTATAATGTCCATGACCTAAGTTTTGATGAGTAGCTTTGAAATGCTCATGGAGAGCACTCACATTGAAGGTAAAATAGCAAGCCGAGAACCCTAAGGTATGAAAATCAAAACATATAAGAACATATTTTATACAGATAGAAAGAACAACTCCCTTGTAGGAGGTATGGCCCCGTGATAGGTTATCGATAATGTGAGTTGATCATCATTCCTATGTAAGGAATACTGAAGGGAATGTAAATATTATAGTCAAACGCAATAGCGCATAATGTACCTACGTGAGGGTTTAGACCCTAACGAATCGTAATATA